TGGGCTGTGCGTTGATAGATCACTATGCCAGTCAGTCATCTTTGAGTTATATATATTTAGATTTGTAATTACAAGAGAAAGAAATAAATACACAGTCAAATAAAATTTTATTGAAGTGTTGAGGACACAGGACGATTTTATTTATTTCTATATATTTTTCTCTTTAAATTTTTGTCTGTTTGAAATTTAAAATTATTAAACAGCTTTTTAATTAATGCATATAAAAGTTGTTTGTTCTTATTAATCTCTGAAACGGCTGGACTGATTTTAATGGAACTTTCGCCTGAAGACAGCTAATTAAAAATCTTCATAATATGTATTATAAACGTGAAAATGTGTAAGTACCCTTTCACGCAAAAACTACTGAACGGATTATGATGAAACTTTACAGTAATATGGCATATGCATCATATATGCTATATACATTTTTGTAATATTAACTTAAAATGGACCTCCTAAAAAATATAATTAATTATACATATCATAAAGCCAATAAATTCAGAATAACTCCTTCAGCGTTTACTCACACAATGTATATTGTCGTAGTGTGTGTAAATGCAATCCAATGTAATGGAAATTGAATTCTATTTGATATATGATTAATACGCCTGGAAGATCTCTTACGCGTACTGCATTCAGAATAGATACTATATTATATTTTACTTACAGTAATATATATATATATACTAGCTATATCCGCGTTTTCATTCGCGTTAATTTTCAATAAAAAATATAGCCTATATGTTATGTTGGATAAGCTATATTAATTGTAAAGTTTCATCAAAATCTGTTCAGTAGTTTTTGCGTGGAAGAGTATCAAACATCCATACTCACAAACTTTCGCGTTTATAATATTATTAAGACTAAGATAATCATCATCTGCTTGTCCCATATCCCTTTCATCCCTGTTCGCAGCCATCACGTTATTTACTCTTTTTCTTACCATATCATCTTTCACACAGTCCATCCATTTCTTTTTCGACCTTCCTCTGCCTTTATAACCACATTTATACGTACACGTTGTTGTGGCTTATTCTAGTATTGCGGGTAATAAAAACTGTCATATATTTTGAATTGGTCCAAGCAGTCCATCCATTTTCTTTTCGGCCTTCCTCTGCCTTTATAATCACATTTATACGTACGCGTTGTTGCGGCTTATTCTAGTATTGCGGTTAACAAAAACTGTCATATATTTTGAATTTGACCAAACTGAGGTATAATATCTCGTCGAAGGTATAATGTCTCTCGAGAATCGATCTAGAATGGCAACATATTTATTACGGACATCTCAAGATAACGTAATATATATAACATCCACACAGACATAAATAATCATACTCATGACTAAAAATGTTTGTTCCGTGCAAGGAATCGAACTCGTGATAATAGGAAGTATATAGCTGTGTTAAATCACCGAGGCCGTTAATATAGCAACTACCTGTAAATAATTCCTGTAGATAAAAATGGATTTTCAGTTATTGAACCAATTTTGTTAGTAATTTATATTTTTATTACCTGCCCCAGCTTCGCACGGGTGTACAACTGTACATGTATAATATTATACTGTAAGATATATCAACTCTATGTACTAGTAAAATTATGTTTATTCATACATAATTTAAGAGCTATGCTCTTGTCGGTGGAGCTCCCGCCACCTTCCACGATCTTCTATCAGTCCCTTTAGCTGTTGATACGACACGACTCCAACTTTTTCTTTAACTTGCTTGATATAGCTGTGTCTTGGTCTTCCCCTTCCTCTCTTTCCATCTATTTTTCCTTCTATAATGTTGTTAATTAGTTCGTCGTGTCGTATCAAGTGCCCCAACATTTTTCCCCGCCTATTCAATTATGTATTATAATAAAATAACAACTATATAACATTAATTTAACTATGTCTCTAACACAATTCACTTTAGCATTTAAAATACAACCAGCACATCCTGTGCTCAAAGACCGAATGCCGTGGCTTTTTTTTTTCGGACTACTCTAATGCTGTTGGCCGCAACTGGCTATTACAGCTTCACCGGACGTTAGGGGGCGAGTGCAGATGGCACTCCAAACCCGCGGAAGGACTTATGGAGCGGTTGAAGGCCAACTCCTGCCTGACGGATACGACTTTAGTCTGAGGGCACCACTAGGGTTTCGAATCTCGGGCCGTCGTAACATCGATCCCCGTTGAATTGGACGGGGGATCGATCGGAGGGGTAAACCCTCCCTTTTATACAGAGAAGATATGACATAATGGCAGGCACAGAATACCAGCGCCGTGACAGTTAGCTGTCACGGCATATGCTAAGTGTCAGCCATGTTGCCAACCATATTTAGAAATAATATAAGATAAATTATTGTAATTGTTCTAAGTGTGTATGTATGTATGTATATATGTATATGTAAAAATGGTTGACAATAAATGTTTTTCTTTTTTTCTTCTTTCTTTATATGAGTGGGTGTTATACGCAACTAGTTTAACGATACCGAGTAGTAATGAAACTACCTTCTTTTAATATTTTTAAATATCAGATTATTCGACAATATCGATGTGAACCCTAACATATTTATATGTATAAACCTACTTCTTGAATCACTCTATATATTGCTAAAAACTGCATTAAAATCCGTAAATCCGTTGTATACTTTAAAAGATCTAAACGAACAGACGGCGTAAGCGGCTTCATTTTATACTACGAGTATCTGAAGAATTCTTCTTCTTCTTCTCAGTCGGTACACTCTTGTCAGAGTGGTCGTGGTCAACATTTTGAATCACGATGAGTGAGGTTTTTGGTAATACGGCGCCATTCGTCGCGGACTGTAGCTTTCACCCGGAAAGCTACGTATCTGAAGAATACGTAGTTAGAAAAAATAAATAAGAACTCAAATAAAACTAAACAACTATAATATTAAAATTATTATAATAAACTATCAAGTATAGTGAATTCAAAATTTACATCAGTTTCTTGAGTAACTTAAAATGTAACTACGAGAAAGTTTTTAGAAGTATCGTCAAGTATGACGATACAGCGTTTCCTTCAAGTTTTATGTAAGCGAGCAAGTAACAGTAGCTTACCTTGTATGGTATAGTCGTACGATCATTTGATATTTTATACTAACACTAGACATATCTTGCGGCGTTGTTCGATAACAATCTAACAATCTAAGATTGTTCACCATCCAGCTTATTCCAACATAAAGTGTAGTGTACACATAACACAAGCTCTACTTAACTTGGGACTAGATAGCGCTGAGTGAAATTATTAATATTATTATCGACCGCCTCGGTGATCTAGCGGTTTAGCACACCGTCTTACTTCCAATGGTCGCGGGTTCGATTCCTCGCATGACAGATACATTTGTATTCATGAGAAACATTGTTTGTATCGGTCTTGGGGATTTTTTATGTATTAGGTACTCGTCCTGGCTTTGTACGGGTGTACATGTATTACATATATATAAACCCTCCTCTTGAATTTCTCTATCTATTAAAAAAAATACTTCAAAATCCGTTGCATAGTTTTAAAGATTTAAGCATACATAGGGACGGACAGACAACTTCAGCGACTTTATTTTATACTATGCAATGTATTTACAAAAAAATCTAAGTATTTTACCTCATCTGATGGTAAATGATGGCAAGACCTAGGATTTAGCGCGCTTACCCAGAAGATATCTATTCACCATACACTTGAAGAATCCGGGGTTGTATTTCTCCGGGAACACAAAAGCTAGAAGTGTGTTCCACTCTTTGGCAGTGCGTATTAGGAAGAACGATGCGAACCGCTCAGTGCGAATGTGCGGAATTTCCACGACGTACGGATGAAGTCCCAGTGTTCGTCGTGTAGTTCGGTGGTAAAAAGGAGAAGGCAAGATCAAATGCAGGTCCTGTGCGCACTCGCCAAAATATTTATCAGTTGTCTAGTAACCATAATACAAGCTTGCTTATCGTGGGACTAGATGGTGCGATATTAATTGTCCAGGGTTAAAAAAAATTGTCATACATACACCTATACAAAAAAAACTATTGTCTTTTTTAATACCAAGGAGGAATAGTCTGAATTTATACAGGGTTAAAATATTTATTGCACTTACATAGTAAGAAACAACATATTTATAAATAAAAATGTGAGCAAGGGTGGGTTTATCTCTGAAAGAGATCTCTTCCAGCCAACCTAACGGTAACAGTGGACATATATAGCGTTATATACATATTTAGTTAATAGCATATTTATGAAAATCTTTTACCAAGTAACAGCGAAAACCTGAAAATTTTGAACTATTCATATTAAGTTTTTAAGTTTCATTAATGTTAACTACCTTTCAGCTTTGCGTGCTACTTGCGATTACCCTGTATTTATAATTGTACCAAAGTTTCTTAGTCTAAGCAGGCTATATCACCGGCTTGCTTCCTGGAGCTGGTACTTCTTAATACTGGCCACAAATAAAAACATGTGGCCACTTAAATTTCAAATTTAGAAGAAAAAATCAATTGAAAATAAGAACTGAAAGAAAAGGATTGCTCCATATTTTAATTATTTTAAAACAAGAAATATAATGATTTAGTTAATATAATATATTTTTTTTTATTAAAATATACACTATAGTGTGCGTGGTCACCAAACTGTACTTCACATCGGGACGTTCCTGAGCAAAGGTGAGTAAATTTTGTGTTGTTTTACTTATTTTGGGGTGTTGGGAGTGTGGAAGACGTTCTTCTTAGGCGAAACCGTACTTCTCCTTCCTTTTGTCTTTTTAAAAAATACAGTACACTCTCTATTTTTATTTATTCTCTACTAACTACCCGCCCGGCTTCGCTCGGGTTTACATGTATTATATATATAAACCTTCCTCTAGAATCACTCTATCTATTAAAAAAACCGCTTCAAAATCGGTTGCGTTTTAAAGATTTGTATGTATGTAATAGGGACAGGCAGCGCATGCGTCTTTATTGTATACTATGTAATGATACAGTATCGTAATTCAATAATAATAATAATGTTAAGACTCACGTGTATATAGGCATTCGGTCGCCATCTTTGAATAGTAGCATCATTGCTACGTCCCGTACAGGAGCGGCCAGGTCGCACGGTAGTCTCGTCATGCTGCCTGGCGCTGACCATACTTGTATAACATCTGAAAGGAAAACAAAATATGTAAATTTTAAATTTGAGGAACTCAGTGGTTTTCCACAGCGTTTGATCTTCAATTGAATTGATCGATTCCTCACACGGTATGAACTTTTGTATTCATGAGTATGATTAATTGTATCAATCTGAGTGTTATCTATGTATATTATGTATGTAAATTTTAAATTTAAGGGGCTCAGTGGTTTACTACAGCGTTTTACTTCAATTGTTCGATTCCTCACACGGTATGAACTTTTGTATTCATGAGTATGATTACTTGTATCTTTCTGGCTGTTTTCTATATGTATTATAGGGTGTCCCTTATTTTTCAAAGTTTTTATTTTTTAATGCATAGGTCTTAGTTTTGTTCATATGTTCCTAAAACACTCGAAAATACATTTTTATATAATTTGGAGAACGATAACCCGTGCCGACCGGCATCGAAACATATTCATACAAATAACGCCGAACTAGTGGCGCGCACCCGTCGTTTTTGCCATTTGTTCACAGTAACTCTTGTGATTAACATATTGTTTTTATGTTTAAAAAAATGGCAGTGGAATTAAGAAGCAATAAAAAAAGTATTTTCTTAGTTGGTAACGTGAACCATCAAATAACTGTAGCAAAGTTACCGTCTAATCGTCAAGTTCTTGCAGTCCTCTTTTTTAACATTCGCGAAGTTAAATTTACTGTTAATGGAAGCGCAAATCTTGCCGTTCGAGAGTGTATTATATTCTGGGAAAAAGCTAGAATCCCTACCAGAGCTGTGCCTAACTGTGTAAAAAACTTGTGGATCTTCACCGTGCTTGGAGAGAGTTACAAAAAAATTAAAAATAACGCCAGCTGTTTACAAGCGCCGTGAGGAGGCCTTTCAAAATAATTTAGATAATTTATTCGATATAGCACACGCAAATGGTTATAAAAATAGAAGAAGATAAAATATTTTTACAAAAACAAAGAGAACCATGGCGTCTAGGATGTTTAGCGGGAGTAGATAAAAAGTTAGCCGAGAAAGAAAAAAGAACAAGACAGAGAAAATTAAAAGAAGAGAAAAAAAGACAAGATGTTCCAAAAGTTTATCGTCATCTTTAACTACACAAGATTTTATCGAAACGCAAGAAAATCCCAATCCCAATACCAGCTCTGACGAAAGCCTTAAGGAACCCTTGCCATCAACATCTCAAATGGTAAGTTCTGTAACTACTTCAAAAAGAGGAAGGAAAGATTTCATCACTCCTAAGTTAGTTGCCACTTTAGATAGATGTCAATTAAGCATAAGGGACTCTGTCTATATACTTCAGGCTATAGTAGAAGCCCTAGATCTCAGCTGTGATGAGTTCCCGATAAATAAATCGTCAAAGATAAATATTAAAATAAGACCTTCTGGAGCAATGCATCAAGCTAGGTGGATGGCTAGAGCCATTTACTCTTTGAAAATATGTTTGTTGCAATCGCAATTCAAAATTAGCGCCAAGGATAAAAGAGCCCTTCAAGATATTTGTTTATTCATTGCAGTTATATATGTAAAACCATGGTTTGGATGTAGTCTGGCAGTACGGCCCCAAATCAAGCTTTGTGCTTTTTAAAAAGTCTTAAGGAATATGAAACTGTTAATAAAGAGATCTCCAAAGCTGAACCTGAGCAAGTTTAGTCAACATTTTTGGTACTTGTAAGAAAAAATAGCTGTTTTATCACTCTTTGATGATGAAGTAGATGAACAAACTAAGACGAATATTGTAGCGAACTTACAAAGAGATAGTTTATATGATTCTGTAAAAAGATACATTCCATCGAAAGAAGATATGTCTGATTATTTGTATGGTAAGTAGAAATACATAACATTTATTTTAGTATAGTTTTTTTTAATGTTACACATTTTAATTTAATTCGGTTTTATCGCGTTTATCATATTTTTATATTTGGTTGGTCTAGACCTGACCTGACTGATAAATGTAATAATTAAACCGTATTAAGTTATTTAATTTAAAAATTAAATAGTTTTATATCTTATATCCATCTTAATAAACTGATAATAATATATCTTGTATTTTGTTGCAGGAAAATCATTAAATCATTTTGTGTCTGTCAAGAGCACAAATTTATTTGCTCGTTTAAATATGGATACAGACTTCTTAAAGAAAATCGTTTCTGCATGGGACGAAGATGTAACCTATTTGTAGGCTAAAACAAGAGTTCTTTCTTTAAGGGCCGTGAATGATACAGCTGAAAGAGCTGTAAAACTTATGCAAGATTTCAATGGCTTAGTCACTGCAAAAGAATATCAAAAACAGTTTTTGCTGCGTACCTACAAGAGTTTTTTGTGAGCATAGAAATCTGTATCCAGACTGTAAAAAAGAGACCCTTAAAAGAAAATATTTGTGATGTTCATTTGATTAATAAATACTATATTCTAACTTTCTCTTTGATTATTATTATTAAACATTTTATTTCATTTTATTACACATACACAACGACAAGCGTTAAAGACAACGATTTTTAAAATATTCAAGGCTCTGTCGGCACGGGTTAATGTTGACATATAAAGATAAAATTTTGTATTTGATTAAGTTTAGGTAGTTTAAAAAGAATTAAGGGGTATGCATTTCGATATCTGAAAAAAAATTTTTTTCACCCATATAAGGGACACCCTAATGTATTATATATGTATTTATAAACAAAATGTATCGTGAAAGGAAACATAATAATTAATTTTATATGTAATTTTTAAATTAAAGGACTCAGTGGTTTCCCACAGCGTTTTACTTCAATTGTTCGATTCCTCACACGGTATGAACTTTTGTATTCATGAGTATGATTACTTGTATCTTTCTGGCTGTTTTCTATATGTATTATATATGTATTTATAAACAAAATGTATCGTGCAAGGAAACATAATAATTAATTTCATATGTAATTTTTAAATTAAAGGACTCAGTGGTTTCCCACAGCGTTTTACTTCAATTGATCGATTCCTCACACGGTATGAACTTTTGTATTCATGAGTATGATTACTTGTATCGTATCGAACTGGGTGTTTTCTTTGTATATTATGTATGTATTTATAAACAAAATGTATCGTGCAAGGAAACATAATAATTAATTTCATATGTAATTTTTAAATTAAAGGACTCAGTGGTTTCCCACAGCGTTTTACTTCAATTGATCGATTCCTCACACGGTATGAACTTTTGTATTCATGAGTATGATTACTTGTATCTTTCTGGCTGTTTTCTATATGTATTATGTATGTATTTATAAACAAATTGTACCTAGATGTATTTATAGTGATCTAGTACTCATAACACAAGTTCTGCTTAGCTTGGGACTGGAGTACGCTGCGTAAAAGGTCTAATATTATTATTAATCTTATTAATATTATAAATCTAAATGTTTGTTAGTATGAATGGATGTTTGTTACTCTTTTACGCAAAAAAAAACGGATTTTAATGAAACTTTACAGTAATATAGCTTGTACATCAGAATAACATATAGGTTAAAAATATCAAGCGAAGCCACGGGCACAGCTAGTGTTAAATATAATGACAAACAAGCTAACGCCTACCTGGCAACTGTCTAAACAGGATCACCATAGTCATCACATAATGACTTTGTTACCAATTCTAGAGAATAATGATTACAGAAGCATTAAAATTAGAGGTTGTTAACTGTCTGTGTTAAAGAACGTGACACTTTACTTGTTCAAATTTCGCGAATTATATGAATTCTACTTGTCCTCTCGGACTAATTTGGTTTGTTATCCGTATTTCCATCGTAAGAGAGTTAATCAAATAATAAAAGATTTACACTCGATCTTCTATCACTAGGGTTGTCAATCACTAGAATCCGACGTCTGTTCCAAAAAATAGGTATAACTAAAAAATCAGTTTTGTAACAACTAGTAATCGCATAAAAATGCATCTCATCTTAAGGGGATACTCAGTTACAAATTACGCATATACGTATACATATATATATATATATATAAACGGACCGAACATACATTCAAATTCAACCCGTTTGATAACCGGCGGTAATTTTGAGGGTCAGGCCGGGGTATGCCTTCTCGACCGTAAAATGAAGCAATCACAAATCCTACAACGCACGGGAGGGTTGAAAAATGGCTAATTCCAATATTTAAAATTGAATTTTCTGGTAGAATTCAATTTAATTACAATTAAATACCTGTTACTGTATTACAACCATTCAACGGCCTCGGTGGTATAACAGTTTAGCACACCGCCTTACTTCCGATGGTCGCGGGTTCGATTCCTCGCGCGGCACAAATTTGTATTCATGAGTATGATTGATTGTGTATCGGTCTGGCTATTTTCTATGTATAATATATATGTATTACAATATATATATGTATTTGTATCAGTTACCGAATACATATAACACAAGGTAACTTAACTTGTATCTAGATGGATCTGTGTAAATTGTCCTGAGATTATTATTATTTGTATTCACACACTTAAACTTTAAAATGTAAAGTAATAATAAAATTATTTAAAAGTGCAACACGCAAAATTCTTGCTCGTTCTTCTTGCGATGAGACAGCTTTCCGAATGAGCGGTGGATAAAAAACAAATTGTTATGACTATTCAAAAGTGCTTAAATTAAGTTTATTTGAATAAATGATTTTCTATTCTATTCTATTATAGCTGTTAGCTGTCATCTGTCATGTCTGCATCATTGTGATACAATCTATCTTCACATGAATCTTACTCATGATCTTTAAAACGACTCAGCCGATCTTGACGACACTTTCCCCCGCAGGTAGTTAATGTTATAAGGAGTAACTTTTTTTTATACTATGATGGTGGCAACCAAGCATACGGCCCATCTAATAGTAAATGGTTACCGTAACTTTGGACACCTGAATAAAGAGTAAATCATCATATTAATAGTATTAATTAATAATAATTAGGGTTACATTCAATTAAAGTGATTAAAATAAAATTTTTATTTACAAAATAAAATCCTTGCTAATTCTCTATAAAAATATAA